TCAGACTCTGTACATCAATCACAACTTGAAAGACACCAAGGACATATAAAACTAGACGAAAAATACCCGTATAACGGCGCACATGGACGATTAACCTATGACCTACACGATAAACATTGGATACCACACATTGGTATAAATGACCCATCAAACTGCAAAGCAGACACAAAAAATAAAGGATACCAAGAAATAATGTTTTTCGATTGGAAAATACAACTCGAAAAAATACAACTAACACGAGATTTATCAGATAATACAATGATCTATCAAGGAATCCGATTACCCTGTTAAAATGATCAAGGTTATTGCGACCCTACAACGAGAACACAAGCAACCATTGTTTGGTTCCCCGAAAATACATGTACAACATTTCAAGTAGCAAAAATACACGCTCGTATGATAAAATTTCACGAAAAATATTTTATACAATCAATTCCATATGAACAAGTCCATCCATCACGAAAACTAAGTTCTAATTTTAGAAACATAGACAATATAGAAAATAAATTGACACGTTTTCAAATATATCAAGAAACAGAACTTGCATGTAAATACAGGAATCCACTTCACAGAACACAATACTCTGAAATATTAGTTGAATACGAAAAAGGATTCGACATGACCACTGGAAAAGTAAAAATCGACCCATATGCCACAGGTCATCCTCCAAACGAAGGAACATCCTATATACCAGTTAATTTTGAAAAAAGCAACGGACAACCTGGTGGACATCTAAAACCCCATGACACCAGAAGCACACGCTTACAAGAATTATCACTAATGAATACTACATATTTCGGTAATATCCACTATGATATTCATTTAGATATGAAACTAGATTATACAATTAGCCGAATTTTTCAAGAAATGTCACTCTCCGAATTAGAAACACTACACCAACTATGCGAATTAGAACGAACACAAATATTACAATCACTTGCACTAGCAGTATTAAAAATACCCTATGCAGGATACTTATTATCTGGAAATAGATCAAATTTTTTAGACTATGAAGGAAACATCTTATGGTTTTATACTTGTACTAAAAAAGTATCACCACTATACGTTTTTGAAGATAAACGATGTTATAAAAGAATCCCTATCTTTTATAAGAATAAAGTACATTTCGTGGATACACTTTCACGAAGAACCTATTTCTGGGATACCGCAGTCCCATGTGGATCAGAAAACAGCCACAATGTAGTACAACTAAACCCTGATGAAAATAAATATTATCTTCTCACTCCATATCCCACATTAATGCAATCACTCAAAAAATTTTCACCAGAAAGCATTCGCGCTATTGCTCGAAACCCAAATATAGACTTACAATCAATAGGAATCTATTCAAAATCAGATATTCAACATCACATTAGAACACAACAATTCCAAGAATTATTAACACAAATGGACACTATACAAAGACAATCAATAGACCAAAATTTACGCAAACTTGCAGAAACCGCAGGATTTGCCGATATCTACACGCAAGACTATAGCGGATATTTTAAAGACATTAAAGATTATATATATCTAAACGGTGAAAAATACCGTCCCCAAGATATATCACCAATTAACATTTTTAGCTTTGTTACACTCAAAAATGAGATCCTCGATTTTCTAGGATGGCCCTACTACATCTTAGAAAAATTGACTATTTTATACGCAATGTTCAACTTTATTGGATTTCTTTTCTCACTTTTAAAAGGAATCTACAACACATGTGCTATACACACACAAGTAAACAGACAAGCAAGCGTAGCACGCATACTCTTTGCAGGATTTTTTGGAATCTTTTCTACATCTATAAACAAAATTCTTTTAGACGCACAAATAAAAGAATATAACACAAAAATAGCAACACGACAAAATACATACGACGAAGAACATAACAATGTAGACATAACGCCAACGGCACCACAATTACCACCCCTACCAAATAACCATCCACTATCCCTAGTCCCACGAAATTTTCGAAATTTAGCCATCACACATAATCCAAATTTTCGACTCACCACATCACAAAGTCCCATCCAACATATAATGACACACCAGTCACAAGATCATAATACCTATGAACAAATTATTGAACAACCCCATACCACCGCTTTTCAGTCTCAAAATAATCATTTTTTTAGCCCACGATGAGCCGCCAACTTGGATCACTACACCGATCAAATTCCCACCCAACCAATCTTACCTCTCCAATCCCAATAATACCACTTTTTGCTTTTCCGCCACCCGATTTTCCATCTAGTAATGTAACATCAGGCATGAATTCCGACACTAATTCACACATCTCAGTTTTATATTCCATCTCACAACTCAATAACCCGAATATTGAAACCCCCGATGAATTTGCCGACTCAGAACCATCCCCATCCAATAATTTTCATAACTCTTCTAAATTTTCTCAACCCCCTTTTCAACCCATATTATCCAATAACCCTGACCCAATCACTCCCACACCCTCTTATGCTTCCCGAGTTACCCCAACCTACTCCTCATACCATTCTGACCAATCATCTCATTCTCCAGACACCCCCCGAATCTCCCCAGAGCTAGATAATTTTATTACCCTTCAACAACAACCCTACCACCTCCATACCCCAACAATAAACCAAATCTCCTCCACAATAAATTCATCCAACCCCCCTACCCCTACACCCTCTTCAAATTATACTGAATCATTAGCACCATCATCCACATCAACTGAATCTTCACTCAACACTAATAGAGCTTACCGCACTTTTAAAAGAAAGTTCCCCAACCATCCTTTCCCAGCAAAACCAGGAACAGCCCGTGAATACATCAACCACCCCAAGCATACTAACACAAAAGAATTTTTAGCCATCACCTTACCCTCATTCCCACAATACACCTTAAACACCCCCCACGACACTAACGAAACACGCAACTTTGTAGATGAATACGTTTTAATGCCCACTCTCTCTTGGACCTCATATTATCATTTTACTAACCCTCTTTGCTTACCTTTATCTAACACTCACATCGATATAGAGCGAAATACGGACATGCTATATCGACTCACTACACCACTAACCGCTAGACAATTTACTTACGTTGGATATAAAAAATCACTAAAAACACACACTGCACCTAGAGCTAACGAATATACACTCGAATACTATGATCACAACATCATCAGAGCTAACCAAGATCAATTCTTAGACGACGATCGCTTCGCTAATCCACAAATTACCGAGAAATTTTTCATCAAGACACCATATATATTTACACTAAACATCTTCGACCGAAAGTTTGATCACATTATTTCAGAAGCACTAACAGACACACAAGCATACGAAAGTTTTAAAGAACGCTTCCAAATATTTTCACTAACCTTTCATTTCCTTGCACCACACGAAAGAGATTTACACTGCTCACACGATATTATGTTGCGCACTAAACAAACCCACACATATAGTTATTATCGCTTCATCCAAAATCACTTTGACCTACACACACCCTCTAGACAACCACACCATCGCTTTCAATTCATTAATTCCAAATACACTTCACCATTTTTCCTAAATTTCACATATTGCATTAAAGATACTAACCTTCATGGTATTCTTCGCAATTATGATCCCATAACCCAAATGTACATCTTCTGTCCCATCACCAACACCTTCAACGCCGAAGAATCCCGACCCTTCCTTATCCCGCACGAGTTTGTACAACCTATAGAAATCCCAATTTTAGAATTCATCCACAACACTAAATTCAATCACAAATTATATAATCTAATCCAAAACACACCTTATGAGTTTGCAGTTGGCACTGAAGAACTAACCACTATTAAGGCACTTCAATTGCTTTGGCCACTGCTTCAGACTAAAAATATCATCCGCATCTTAGCTAAACTACTAACAACTTCAGAACTAATTCACGACATCTTCCCCCACGGTTTTTTCCCCGACGACTAACAGGTAAGTTTGAATTAAATGAATATTACTAACTAATTAAAATATTAAAAAACTCACCATACTTTATTCATGTTTTCTTTAGATTTTTAGCCTTCATCCGACGATCACCTACAAAAACCACAAAAGACAAATAAAGATCGCAAATTTCATCAAACAGATTTCAACAATTCTATTAATCGCATACACTTATAAATTTATAAATTTAATACCAATGCAGTAAATTCATTTCTAAAATTTTCCCCACAAGCAGTAAATCTAATTATGATGAAAATTTGTAACTTAAAATTCCCCCATAACTAGCAGTAAATTTCCAAATTCTATGCAGTAAATTAATAAAATGCAAATGCAGTACTAACCTTTTGATATTCTCATTTATTCGCACAGAAATTCTATCCACACTCGCACAGCTCGCCCACGAAGAATTGTTTAAAATAATGAATTTCAGTTTCAAGTTTTCACACTCAACAACTCTAACATATAATAACATGTTTCAAACTTTCCTTTAACCCGGTTGGAAAGGAATCATATACTAAACAAAACTAACCAACGCAGCTTACTAAATACCACAAATCATAGAATAACAGCATGACTAAGAAAAGGAAACCAACGGTACCCAAACCGGATTAACCCAGTTTAAAACTGGATAATTTATTCTTTTGAAGACTATTATAAAGTCTAAGAAAGAAATAATAAAACACAAAAAAGTCGAAAGACAAACCCATACCACGAACAATTTGCTTTTTGGAAAAAGGACATAACCAACAAGACATA